CTAATCTAGAAACACAAATAGTAGTATATCACGCATATTTTTCATCGATTATGAATTATGGAATTACTGTATGGGGCTCATCAAGCCAGGCCAAAAAAATATTTATTCTCCAAAAAAGAGCTGTAAGATTAATGGCCAGAGTCTCCCGTAGAACACATTGTAAAGATTTATTTATTAATTTTAAAATTTTAACTTTTTTTAGCTCTTATATTTACAAATTGGCATTAATGGTTAAAAGTGATTTCGACACATTCATGGACTGTCAACAATCTCATCCACATAATACAAGATTCAAAAATATTATAAAACCAGTTCAACATAGGCTTAAAATCTTTCATTTATCCCCTCAGTATATGGGACCAAAAATTTACAATAAATTACCCGCTGGGATTAAAAACATTGCCTCATTCTCTAAATTTAAACTATCTTTAAAAAATTTCCTTTTGGAGAGGGCATTTTACTCGTTAGAGGAATATCTGGAAAATGAGTATATTTGAAAGATATTGCTTCTCCCATAGGTTTGTAGCTTATTATATGCTTTATTTCTTTTGTAAGCTATTTTATTTTAAAATGTAGTATAGTATTAGTATTAGACTTTGTGACAAATCACCTGTCAAGAGAATTGATGTAATGTGATGATGTTTAATAAATAAATAAATAAATAAACAAACTTATAACTTTTTAACTTTTAAAACTTATCTTGGTATTTTACTTGGGGTAATGAAGTTATGTAGGCTAGTGTAATTCTTGGTTCATCAAGGTTCTACTGAATTATGTTTGGCAGTGAATAAGTGTAGAATGAAATTTATAAATTCAGGGATACACACCTTTTACAGAGTTATAAAGCCTAATTGCTCTAATTAACTTGCCACAACATCAAATCTAGAGCCCAGTTTAGTGTATTAGTGATGTTTTCTAAACTTGGCAAACCCCAAGAACAGGAAACAACATATAACATAACCTCAAGTAAACAAACCCAAACGTTTTGACATCAGTCCTGCTGAGCTTAAGTGTTGTGTGAAGATTTCGGCTGCTAGTGTACTTAATTCAAGCAACCAACTTTTGAAAATAGATGTTGTGAATTGTGATTTTCAAGAGAGAAAAACTGTGGACGTGGCTAATTTGAAATTTTATGATTCAAAATCGCCATTTATGTTTATTTACACAGCTTTACAGTGTTTTTATATGTTAAAAACGCATATGCAGCTTATTATTAACCGCGCCGAACTATCCGAATCCGAAAATATCCGAATCCGAACCTCCCAATATCCGATCCGATCCGAACCGAGCCTCAACTATCCGATCCGAATCCGATCCGAAATGAAATTTCACTATCCGCACACCTCTAATTGAAACAGTATTACAATCACAATGTTTTATTGGTTTGCTACATATTTTTAACTTATTAACCTCAACATTAGTTTATTTAGTAAGTACATGGCTGTCAAACTATCTGAATCTAAAAATATTAGATCCAAAAATATGCGAATCCGAACATCTCAATATCCGATCCAAGCCTTAATTATCAGACCGATCTGATCCGAACTGAAATTCTGCCATCCGCACACTTCTACTCTAAACCCGTTTTAAAAATAATTTGAATCAATTTTAGGGATGGTCAAGTCTCGAAATTTCGGGAAATTTTCGGGAAATTTTAAATCTCGTTACACGAGACGAGATTTTTTTTTGACCAAGATTTTTATCGGGACAAGAATATATATAAAAAAAAAAAAATAAAAAAAAAAATTAAAAACGCCTGCAGAAAGTCAATGCAATGTGCAATACAGGAGCGTGTTGTAGTTGCGTTTCCTTTGCGAAGGCGTTCTTATTTAATTAATTCTTTAAATGTAAATATTACTTTAATTATTTTAATAATATTACTTTAATAACATTTGAGAAGTTTTGTTAAGTGTAAGCAGTGTGAGGAATGTTTTATTACTATAAAAAGTCAAAACAAGTAACTATTTTATAAAAATTACAATCTTACAATTTACAATTTATTTTATGATTTATTTTATTTTAGGATAAGTTTAACTCTATCCTAACTGATATCACTATGTTTCCTAATCGTATGCATTTTTAATAAGTTAGGCGTGATTAATAAAAAAATGTTATGCTGATGTTTTTTAATAAAAGATTGTAAATATTCTTGCCTATTATCATTATTTTTGTATTTAAACAGTCATCTAACAATGTTACAAAATCAGGTAAAAATTTTGAACGTGCATTTCCCGTTGTGTATGAGAAGGGAAATCCCGTCTCGATCTCGTCTCGAAATTTTATGAGAAATAAAAAATCTCGTCTCGTCTCGTCTCAAACTAAAAATCCAATCTCGTCCATCCCTAATCAATTTTATTTTTAGCGAATTTCCCTAAAGGGAAGTAGCTATTACCGTAGGTGGCACGGTAAGACCTAGACCCGGGACCGATTTACTTTTTCATTTTCATGTCCCCAGAGGCCAAAAACACCATTTGTTCAAATTTTTATATATGTATATATATATATATATACGTCCGTGAACGCGATAACTTGAGTAATTTTTGACCGATTTTGATGAAATTTGGTTTAAAGGTGTAAAGCGGGATAAACTTGAATGAGTTCGCGAACCAGCACGATCGGACCATGGGAACGGGGCTTTACGGGGGGTTTTATGGGGTAAAAATTGGTTTTTCTCACTTTTGACCCTCAAAACACAAAATTTCCCGATTTCTCTTTAGACCCTTTTAAAGAGCTTAAAAAAAACAAATAATTTAGTATATAAAAGTATTTTTGTTCGATTGTTAGTAACGGAGAAAATTAAAAAAATTGTAAATTTAAAATTCCCATGTTATTCTTATGGAGAATATTGTCAAATGTTGTAGTTTGCTTGTTTATGGATATATTTTGATCAAACTTGGCAAATTTATTTATTTTGTACTAAGCTATCAATATTTTACTCAAAAACACACTTTATTAGTTTCCTTGTAGCAGCAAACCTAGGTACTCGTTAAACCTAATGTTATTAAAATATATTTAACTGAAAATCTATTCAGACAAATGGAAATTCGCTTAGTCGGCAGGTTTGCTGCAGCGGGGGTTTTGAATTTATTAGCCTATTCAAATTGTCTGTTCCGACCTGGGATTCACTTTTGTCCTGACTCAACAGTTTTTGTCTCTTCTGACTCCAAGCTTTGTAGGCTCCTTGTCAAGTTTAAAGAAATGTCATATTTTTACACAGTAGCTTGCTGCTATCTAATCTTTTAGTATTAAAGGTAAGGTATTTACCTGTCAGATAACCCGCTTGAATAACATATTACAATGTTGACATAACATAACAATTCAAGGCAAAAATATGCAATTTTAGTATAACTTATATGAGTCATAATATCATAGTTAGCTAACTTAATGTCGTTTTGAAATATTGTAAAGGCCTATTATTGCTATTATTTCATACTTTTAATGAGTTATATAGCCTATATTGTTTTACTGTCTCAAAGTTAGCAACATTCTTCTGTTCTGAAACAGTATTTACTGGTAGCCTATAACTAGTCAGTAGCTTACTAGATTTTCTGTTTGGTTCTTTACTTGATTTATTGCTGTACAGTGATTAGCAAGTGTTTTGTTAAGTTTGGGGAAGCTGTGATTTCAAACTACAGTATACTCCCTCTTATCCGGACACCTTTTAACCGGATATCGATTTAACCGGACTACACTCGGCGGAAATGACATCTCTTAAACCGGACAATTTTTATCAGCACATTGGTTTAACCGTACTAGATCGGCAGGAGGTGGGCGGTACTGAAACGACTGTTCTCGTGGGAAAGATTTGAGACCAGTTATCACGTGTCTAAATACAATGCTCTCCTAAATTTAAGTGGACTCCTTTACTTCTTTGCGATTGCTCGATTTCGTGATTAGTGTACATACACTAGTACTTATTTAATACGCAAGCAGGTTTTTTGTGACAATTACTCCTCCGAAACTACTGAACCGATTTACAAGTTTTTGGTTCATTGGAAAGAGCGTAACGTGAAGTTGTGCAGGAAACTTTCTTTTTACAGAAATAATTAGAGAGTGAGGCCCTGGGGCCCTTTAAAGTTTCGTATTTCTCCATAAGATTAACATGGGAAACAACCATTGTTATGAAACTGCAGCTGTTGTCAGAAATTAAAAGTGAGAAGAAGAACACATGTTAATTGTAAACGGTCAATAAGTTTGCTAACTAAACAGTTTGCTACAAACATTTACTTACGTGGTTGAAATGAAAGATTTACTATTTGAATTTGGGTTGGTGTAAGTATTACAATGGAAAAAAGCGAGAGCCTGGATAAATATTGATATACTAAAAACTAAAAAGAAAACTGAATTAACACTGTGCTGCATTTCTTAGTAATCATTGAAAGAGCCGATTTGCAAACTATGGTAACATAGGAAATTCATAGAACACCACCAAGGGGAAGAAACAAAAATAATGGTTATTTTCAAATTATTATAATCGTTATTATGGACAACCTAATGCGGCTAGGCTATGAGTAAGGCTATTTGCAGAAAACACTAAAAAACTAGATCAGCTTTTGAAAAATGATAAGATATTTACAAGAAATGTTGATTATATTGATCTGTTATGTACATCTTGAGTATTTCCATAATCTTTCAGTAGACTCTTTTTAAAGTCATCAGAAAATATGACTGTTATTCGTTTTAAAATAATGCCTGTGCTGTAATACTTAGCAATTGCTCGAATTCGAGCAACAGGGACACTAGTTTATTTTATTTTCTTAAACTAACTGTGATATTTCAAAAATAATAATGTGGGAGTTTACTGCATATCTATAATGGACCAAAATAGTTTAATATGCAATGTATTTTAATTCACTACAATTAAGAAATAATTTTATTTTTTTACTTTATCTGTATTTTCTTCTTCTTGGATATTGAGGTTATGTAACGTAATTAATTGTATGGATATCTACGACCATAGTTGATCCGACCCTAGTACTACTGTTCTTTGTGTTTGTCAGGGCTGGGTGACTCTACATGGATTCATATGTTTCTGGATGTTGACCACACTTCATGATCTCCCAACCACCCTGGAGTATCTGGCCTACCTTGGCTATCCCATCACTGACGATGACAACCAGTTGTCTGCAATCACTGGTGAGTCTATTCCATGCACTGTTTACTTTTTACATCATCATGTGTTATATTCTGTTTGAATGCATATGAACAAGAGCTTGCTAATGGACTAGAATTATAATTCTTATGGGTTTTAGTTGGCTGGCGAGATCTTTATTTAGTCTTTAGTCTCTCTGCTTGTCTTTATCTATAGTAAAATCTTTTCTCCGCTAGGCCTATACCATACTCTTTATATCAGGTAATCTGTTATCAGCTATTACTGTAGGTCCTATAGTAAGACCTAAACCTTGGTCTGATTTACTTTTTTGTTTTGATGTCCTCAGAGGTTCAACCCATTCATTCAAATTCATGTAAAAATGATCAGATTTTGATTGAATTTTGTAAAAAGGTGTAAACCTACGTTTATTCAATTGAGTTGGCAAACCCAAAAAGATTGCACTGTGGGAACAGGTTTTATGGGGTAAAAATTGTTTTTTGCATTTTTGCAGCTCTCTCAAATTTTTTGACATCTTGCTTCGAAATATTATAGCCTCCACTGAAGCACAAGTTAATTTTAAACATGTGTACTACTGTTGCAAAAGTATAGAACAAATCTATTTCAGTAAGTTTAAGGGGAAAACACAAAAACTGACAACAGATCAAAAAAGAAACCAAACTGATGAAATCAGCAAACGACCAATCAGAAATATATTGTGAAGCTTAACTTCTAGTTTGGTTAAGTTAACTAAATTGAATAATGAATACAATATGTAACAGTACAACATGGTGGAACATCGCTCATCACACAGCACATATAGTTGCATTTTTCAATCCTTGCTCATTTCATTTTTCATTCTCAAACTCCTCACCCCTAAAACTTGAGCTTGCATAAAAAACATCAAGCTCTTTTGATCTTAGTGATGAAATAAACTAAAACTACCTACGTATTTTCTTGTAAATTTAACTGTATGCAGTCAGTATTGTAGAATCAATGTAACCGTTCGTGCTTTTACATGTTGTGAAAGTGAGTTTTACTCAAAGTAGCCTAATTTTTATTCTTGTGTAGTAACGAGGGAGAAGCAAGTGGACCTACTCAAGCGTCAGTCTACTCGTAACATTTACGAGTGTCATGTAATGGGAGCCATTGGAGTGGGAAAGTCTATGCTGTGCCGGAGCCATATTGGACAGTACTTGGCGGTCAGTTAGGCTATAGAATATAAGAATATAGTTTCGTGAGCTGGTCACAGAAAGCGCTAGTGTCTACACAATTATATCTGGCCAAGTTGATGGGTCATAACAGTTGCTATAGCTCCCAATAAGCCTTTCCATTAGTTTGAATTAGTAAAAAAGTGTGTATTCGACAAAAATTAGTAATTTAGATCAGCACAATCTGTTGGTGGCTCACATTAAGTACTACGATTTTTACAACAACAAAAAAACTGGTGACAACTTTAACATGGGGATGAAATGTCCAGTTGCATCAATAGTCAAAGGTACAAGCAGTGCTCGATTTGTAAAAAAATGAGGTGCCGGAACTGTAGCCTATTTAATGTGATTAGTATCTATTTATGTCTATATTTTTATCTTTCCAAAAGAGAGGTACCCGAACTCCGTTCCGCCGCGTTCCCCCACTAATCGAGCACTGGGTCTACAAGTATACTAAACTAAGTCACAGTTTTAACTCTGTTACAGTACCTAGAAACACTAAAGTAGGTATGCACATTCTGTTTAAAGGGTTGGTGAGGGTAAAACCGGTTTGTTTTTAAATCACAAGTTTCAATCCTAATTCTTATGGACATAGATTTAATCAGAACAGTTGATTGTGTTTGGTTGTGTGTCAGGGCTTTGTTCCATTTGTAATTTATTGGAATCTAGGCTGACACTTAAGCTAGGCTTGAATAACAATTTTATTGAAACTAGATAGAAAGTTTATTTGATAAATATTAACATTCTAAGATGTGGTATCCTTAGGGGTAAAACTGAGACTGTCTCATTCTATGTTGAGAACCAGGAGAATGAAGAATAAATTAATATGTTTCTTAACCACGCCTAATTATGTTTCTAGTACTTCTCTACTTATAGTGAGGTTGTGTAACGTAATTTTATAAATATCTTTTGAGCACAGTTTATCCGCCACTGGTTCTACTGCACTTGTTGCAGTTAATTAACAAGTTCAAGTGGGTGTTGTAAGTTAATTAACTTTTCCCAGGGGAACCGACACTAAAATCTGTTCATAGTGAACAGCACCATACACTAAAATATGTTCATGATTTGTATATTTTAAGTGGTTATGGAAAAAAAGTACGACTATGTAAGTTATAAGCAAGTTTGAACTAAGAAATCCAAATGGAGGAAGTCTCTTACTGAAGCAGTTTCACTTTGTCACAGGATGTACCAGACTCTGAGATCCAGGGTGTGGTGCAATGTACCATCAACATGGTGCATGTCTACGGCCAGGAGAAGTACCTAGTGTTGAAGGATGTAGACTTGCCCAACAAGAACGCAGTGCTGCATCCTGTGGATGTAGCATGTGATGTCGTGTGTCTCGTGTACGATGGGACTGACCCGCAGTCGTTTGAATATATAGCCAATGTATATCTGGTTAGTAAAGTTTCTTAACTCATTGATTTTCCCATCTGTCAAATTTATTTGTTTCTTGTTATGTCGTAAGAGAGTCTTATCCCACAGACTATTGAGACAGGTGTAATGTGTTTTGGGTTTAAGCTTGTCTAATGACACAATTTTGCTCAAACTGCCGTTTCGGTAAGCTGAAAGATGTTTTTAATATTTGGTCCTAATTCCCAGATCTCAAAAGTCTCATTCATGCAAAATATTTTTAACATTACAAATACAAACTACTCTGTGACAAACATTGTGTAACATAACATAAGTAAATGCAAGAATTTTATAAAAGTCAATAGGACTTTCTCTTGTTTTAAGGCACCGGGAAAAACTATTGAATCATAACTATTTTCATGAGCTTACTTTAGCTGATTTCCACTCAGACTTTTGAAAAGTAAATTTTTCAATGTGACTTATATATCATGTTGAATTTTCAGAAATACTACAGAGAAAGCAAGATACCAGTGATGGTGGTGTGTACCAAAGCAGATCAGCCACAGGTTAGTGACATGAAACATAAGTTGTCAATCTCAATAAACCCTACATTAACTGATTAACTGTGATCAAGTGTGAGCTATGCTGCTCAGGGTAATGACTTAAAAGTTTCTTCTTAAAAGGTTCGTCCCCTCAATTTTTGAAATCAGCTCAACACTAAGGAAGAAGAAGAGTAAAAAATTGTATATTTCATTATTAGTGCCGTAAGTGGCATTTTCCTGTACAGCTCAGTTTCATTTGTGAGGCAAAGTCGAACACCAAATTATTTTCACATACGAATCGAAGTCGAGGACAGGAATAATTAGAGCAAATCATTTTGGTATAACTGATACTTTTCTTCACAACGCAAAAATACTGATATTTGATTATCAATCAAATATAATACTGATAATTAACTAATACAAATACGAGGGATGCCCATAAATTAAGATCTCCATCGACCCCAGCCAGGTACACTAAACCAACAATTTCTCAACAATTTGAGAAACAACACTTAGTTACTTCATCCACTAAGATTTGTTAATAGGCCTAACACTGAAGGACAATTAGGCTTGTCATAGTAGCCAATATCATTGTGAGGAAAATCAACACTCCTGCCAAGTATGAATCATGTTCAGCAGGGGGCACTGGTTTTGGAAGGAAGTGGACATTTAATACAATCTGTTATAACAAAGTTGATTGTAAATAAAGAAATATTTTTCCGCGCAGACAAATAAATGTTATGCAAAAATAGAACTTAAAGTAACAAGCTGTTACCCACGGGCTTCAACTTGTTTTACTTCATAAGTATTAATTAAACTATTGATTGGTTAAGTTAATCTGAAAAAAAAAAAAACATAATAGAGCATTGCAAACAAATAATCACACCAGATTTTAATCTATATATATAAAGCTCAAATACCACTGACTCACTCACTCATCACAAAATCTCAGAAACCATAAGACCTAGGAACCTGAAACTTGGCAGGCATCTTCCTTTTGGGTAGTAGACGCTCAGTAAGAAAGGATTTTACCCTCCGACCTCTGGGCTCCGCCCCAGTGGCTCTGGAGTTTCCCATGTTGAACCTTATGAGTACTCATATTTAAATGGAATTAATGAATCTTAACAGCTGTTTCAATTTAACAAGTTGGTTCTGTTCTATGATGTTCAATAGCATTAAAGTTACAAGGATTACCATCAGGGTGCATCACTATTATTTCTTTTATGACAACAGCTAATTTGCAGCCAAAAGGTGAGTGAGCGTAGCGAACGAACTTCAACCTGGAGGCGAGTTAGCGTAGCGAACGAACTTCAACCTGGAGGCGAGTTAGCGTAGCGAACGAGCTAACCTGAAGGCAAGTGAGCGCAGCGGACGAGCTCTAACCTAAAAGTGAGTGAGCGTAGCAAACAAACTTCAACCAGGACGTCAGGACGTGATTGAGCCATGCAAATTTAATCATCTTGAAAATTAAGAAGTTAAACGGGGCAAAGTCCGCGGGTTACAGCTAGTAAGGTAATAAATTGAAAGAATGACATACAAGTAAGAACAGCTGAGGTATTTTCCATAGGCTTTAGAATAAATACAACATAAATGTTGCAAAATCTGGCAAACTTCGTAACTTCAATATGGCCGCCATTCTATGCAAAAACATGGTGAAGAAAACACAGCTGATGACACAAGAACATGTGGGGCCAAACCCAAACAATATGAATAGTAAAAATTTATAAATAAAAATACTTTTTAAAAATGCCATGTTTTTAAACGCACTAAAAAGTAGAAATTAATTTGTAAATATGTTGAGAGAATAAATACTTGTAAGATTTAAAACTAAAAACGTGGGGTGCATGCTAATTTACAATTAACTTCACCTATTGTACTATTATGATCTATTGCATGGGCCCCACGTTTTTCGTTTTAAATCTTACAAGTATTTATTCTCTCATCATATTTTATTATTATTTATAACATTTATTTATTTACAACTTCCTCACCCAACAAGAAACAACACACCCAACACCTTACCAATTCGGTTTCGATGGAGCACGTCTAGTGCAACTACTGAGGAAAGGTAATGGAAATTATGCAACTGCCCCAAACAACATAGCAATTAATCAAAACATCTTAGTATCAGACGAGACAATACTCCTAAACGAACTACATCTTTATAATAGCACAAAACACATTGACATTAAAAACTCATACAACACTAAACTGAACTTAGTCCAAGGTGTGCCAGGATGTGGGAAAACAACTTTCCTACTCAACAACTATGCTACAGGGGACCTCATCCTGTTTCCTACAAGAGATGCGGCAATGGACTTCCGACAGAGATACAAAACCAACCACCCAGACCATAGCCAGGCAAAATGCAATGACACCTTCCGAACTGTGCATTCATTCATAATAAACTCCACCCAACATCTTAAGAGAGGAAACACCTATAACAGGCTCTTCATCGACGAAGCCCTAATGATGCATGCCGGAGAAATACTCTTTGCAGCCATTTTATCAACTGCTAAAGAAGTATTGCTTATTGGCGACATTAACCAAATACCATATATAAACAGAGCAGAGAACCTAGAAGTTAAATACCACAACATTACAGAAATAGCCACAACAACAAAAATACTAAACACCACATACAGATGCACAAAGAGCACCACAGCCATCCTCTCAAAATTCTACAGCCAAGGAATGCAAACCACCAACCAGACGGAGAAAGAACTGGCGACACAGCAGTATCAGGGACTAGAAAGCCTGAACCTCACTCTCAACAAAAATAAATACAAATGCTTGGTCTTCAAACAAGCTGAGAAAAGAGAACTAAACAAGCTAGGTTTCAACGCATCTACGATACATGAATTTCAAGGACGGCAAGCAGAAAACATAGCTGTCATACGAACATCTGCTAAAAGAGAAGAAATTTATGAATCGCAGCACCACTGCATCGTTGCTATCTCAAGGCACACACACTCATTCCTTTACATAACACCCAGCAGTAATGATAAACTAGGCCGTTGGATACAACAAGCAAACTTGCTTAGCTCCCAGGAACTTTCCAAATACCACATCAACATTGAGAAAATCGCAGAACCACCCCTCCCAAAGCATAAAAACACACTACAAGTTAGTAGTTGCACACAAGAACCCCTAAACACTCCCACCTCCCAACATCATTTTTTAGAAGAACACCCTCATCCCAGAGAAAAGCACAAAAACCAGCTCAAAGATGTAACACATCCCCTCCGACACTCCGTACAGTAAAATTCCAAACACCTAATAGCCAACAAGGACTTAAAATTCTACACCAAAACATAAATTGGTTATCTAAAAAAACTGATAGACTAGCACACTTCCTCCAAGATGAAGACCCGGACCTGATCATAATAACAGAGCACGGCGTAGCACAACAAAACTTGCAAAACACGTGGGTAGAAAATTACTCACTTATTGGAGGCTTCTCAAGGAAATCCCATGTCAAAGGAGGAGTGGTCGCTTATGTAAGAAGTGGCTGGGAAAAGCATGTATCACTCATATGCACAAGTAGCGAGGAAACAGAACTAATTTGCGAAACCGTGCTCTTTGAACTGAAGCTAAACAGGAATCCACTGCTGGTCCTCGGAGTATACAGGCCACCAAGTGCAAACCTAGACCAAGCCATCGATATACTCTCTGAACAACTGGAAACAGTGCTCACTACGGATAAGCAAATATTAATAATGGGAGACATCAATGTAAACAACCTAGTTGATGACAATGAAAACGAAAAAATTGAAGAACTCCTAACCTCCTTCAATATCTCAAGACTGAGGCTACCTCCCACTCGAATTACAAGTGACTCAGAAACATCAATAGACTGGATATGCTCAAACATTGATAATCAACAAATAGAAACCTCAGTTATAACATCAGGACTATCTGACCATACCGCACAAATCGCAAAAATCATCACTAGAAAACCGATCATCAACAACATCAAAGAAAATAAACGAATCTTCAACAGAACAACAATAGATAACTTTCTAGGGGTCTGCGGGTCCCCGATTTTTTCGGGTCGGGTCGGGCCAGCGGAAGGCCCGAGAGACCGGGTCGGGTCAGAGATTTTTTCGGGCCAAGATCGGGTCGGGCCAAAAAAAAAATTATTATTTTCAAAGTTATAATAAGTAATTTTCAAAGAAACACTCTTATATATATTATTACAGAGGAATTAAAACGTTAAAATTATAATTAAATATTAAGTTTGCTCACGTTTAAGAACAAAGACACAACAGAGCAAATGCCGTACTGTCACTAGCCAGAGCCAGTCGTCTACTGACAAAACAAAAGCCGTGACACAACAGTGCAAAGAAAACGAAGTCAAAAGAAAGACTATTTATCCAGAGGTACCAGTTTAATTATTTATTGTTTATTCCATACCTAGTTTAAAATATATTTTAGTATTTTAGTTACATAATAAATTATAAACAAAAGAAATATCTGATATAGTGTACAGATCTGTATCTTGTTCTTTTATTTTCCTGTGTCCTTTTTGTCATTCAGTAACAAAACAAAACAACACTTCTGATCGTCTGGTTCGGCATTGTATGGTCACCATTTAATTTTTTTTTAAGTATCAAGTATCAGCAAGTCTACAAAGAGGTTAGGCCTAAATATTTTAAAATTTTATGAAAGTTTTTATCAGTAAAATTATTTTTTTCTTAAGTTAGATTGAGTTTCAAAAAAGATATTTCTAAGATCCAATACAATATTTACAAGACACAAACTACCATGAATTAATTTCTTTGGAAATTATCTGTAACAGTTTTATATTTTTGAATAAAGAAAATATATCTTTTTGTCTCTACTTCCTTGTTTTGTTACTTGCATTTTGTCAGCAATTGGAACAATCGGGTGGTGTAATAGGGGTGGGGGAGGGGGAGGGTCTATGACCTTGAGTGTCCCCGGGCCTGGCTCTGGTTGTGTAAGAGGGGCGGGGAGGGGAGGGGGAGGGTCTGTAACCTTGAGTGTCCCCGGGCCTGGCTGTG